TCCACCTACCCATGCGTTTGTATTCCTCATGAGAGGAAAAAATCTGGATGAGGAGAAGCCACAAAGGGAAATCCTCTGAAACAACCGTAAAGGCACAGAGTCAAGACAAATTCTCCAGGACCTACTAGGAGAGAGAAGAACTCTTGCTAGGGAATACTCACCTCTTTGCAGTTTGCCAGGAAAAAACTATGCCTGGGGAAATATATGCTGAAAGATTTAGGAAGGCAAAGGAAAAAGCACAGAAGGGAGGAACCCTGTGTGGAAGAAAGGCTCCTACGAGGGCTGCAGAGAGCTGATGAAGGCAAGGAAAAAAAGCACAGGAAAAGGTGGGTTCTCTCAAAGTGGTGAACAAATATTACCTCAGAAGGTAATTGCAGCTGAAGAAATGCATGCACTGAAAGGGCTGCTGCACGTTTTAACCCACGATGCAGCCACACTCCTTTCACAGAATTGTTGCTGCTTTGTTCAGAGGAGCTGGTTCACAGTCATTTTAATCAGCTGCTGTCTGAGCTTTTTTGGAATGAACTGAATACAAGCACTAAATTCAGTTGTTGTGACTACAAAGTGGGAGGAGAGGGATGCTAAAGCTCTTGGCTTCAACATATAAACAGTAAAATTCTGTATTTTGCCCACAGAGGAAGAAGATAAAACTCAATTCAGTTACTGTAATGTGTTTTTTAACTTGTGAGATGAACACCTGGAAATGTCAACTTGATCTTGCTTGGATTAAGCAAAAAAATCCCAAACTGGATGCCTGAATTCTCTACAGAAAGCCAAGCCCTAGGGTAGCTTGAGGGCAGAGTGGAGCAAAGATGGCAGCAGGCAGAAAGCTCTCTGGGTAGAGGAACATGGGGCCATACTGGTTTTCTGAGTAATTCCTATACAGCCTGGGCCTGAGCAGAGGAGCTCAGTTCAACAGTTCAAGCTGTTGGAACAGTCCCTGGTACACCCCTGGCATGGAACAACCTGCCTTCTCCCAAACCATCCCAATCACAGCCCAGCAGCCACTTGCAGTGGCCATTCTGAACACAGCCAACTTCACTGAGAGGACAGGAGAATGTCACAGTATAGCCACAGCCAGAACTGCTCAGCCAGCCCTGGCCAAAGGGCCAGGGAGCAAATCATCTTATTTGATCCCTGCTGCACACAGTTCCCCTCACCCATGCCAACCTCCCCTCAAACCACTGGCAAATCACACCTTTTTCCATTGCAGCATTTTCAACAGTACCATCAAGTTCGGTGAATAGCTCATGCAACTTGTGTTTCTCTCACATGCCATGTCCTTAGAGGATTAGCCTCTTTCAGATCCATTGCTCCTGTTTCTTTCATTCCTAAAGGCATGCCAGTTGGAGAACTCCCTGCAACTGAGACTCGCCACACAATACTATTTTGCAATTTATGAGGGTAAGTTCTTTAAAACATTGTTAAAAGATACTGCAACTTTGATAACTCAGATACCAAAGCACCATGGTAGCTATTAAGAATTTAAAAATATGTATCTGGAAATGTTGAGCTCTATGGATTTAAAGGAGAATGATGGAGTGGTGACAAAGCTAAATCAATACACCTAATATTGTCCCTACAATGGGGAGTTAAGTATGTATCTGATTTCCTACTTATAAGGGAATTAAAATATTTTAACACAGGAATATTATAATGACTGTGGTTTAAGAGAAAAAAAATTAAAAAAAAACCAAAACCAAGAGATGCTAACTTAAAAAAAATGCTGTGAGAGCCTTACTGTGACTTACAAGTCACTGTATACTTAAAGTGCTAAGAAGAGTGAAATAAATAGAGCTGAAAGTGTGCCACTGCTACAAAAGTGAGTATACGATAATTCATTCCCTTATGCACAACTGGTATCAAAGGATCATCTTACTCTATATTAGGAGTGATTTTTCTTACAGGACCTGTATATTCTGACCTAAGCTGAAAAAATTTCTACAAATGTCCAGAAAAACTTGCAGAATAATTGGTGACAATATATGGGGATACCAATACTCAAAACTATCAAGAAAGGCAGAGGATGAAGAGAAGAAAATATATTTCAATTAATTTCAACACTGGATCCCACAAATATAAGTTAAGTTAATTTTGAGCACCTTTTATCCTAGGAAGAGCCAGGCTTCTGGAGTAAAAAAAAAATAAAAAGGAGGAGGGGTGTTAAAAGATGAAAACTTTATCAGAAATATGTATTGTTTTTGACATGTTCCCGATTTGGACAGCAAAACCCCAAGTCTTTCTGCTTTTAAGAATCCCAGAATCACCCTGCTAACACAGAGAGAGCTTTGAGGCATAAGAACCATACAACAGAGAAACACAAAGTTTGTAGATCATCATTAATACCCACAAAAGATGAAGAGCTGAACTGCCAAGTGAGTTTACCCACCTGACATCAAAAAGCAATTCAGACACAACCCTGCAAGCAAGGCAGAGAATCAGCACCACTGGGATATCTCTTCCAGGCAAAAGGAACCAGGCTATTATGAGCTTCCACCTGGACGATCACCAGCAATACAAGACCAGAAAAAAAGACCCTAGTTTAGCATTTTATCCCTAAGGCCAGATATTTAACTGGATATTGGGTGGTTCAGCAGCACAGCAGCAGTGCTGGGCCAAATCCAATTCGCAGCCTTCTGGCCCAGGAGGGGAAGTTGTTACCAAATGAAGCGTGCTGACAGCATATGGAGGCCTGTGCTACTGGAGCAGTTTCATCCTCATCCAGAAAGCAAAAAACCTGTAGGATTATGCCAAACACATGATTCAATTTAGGCTGGAGCTCTGCTGCTCAAAGCGCTCTGGCCACCACTACTGCACAAAATGGACTGGCTTGTTTCAGTGCTGACTCTACAGCTTTCCAAAGGTTTTTCAGAGAGGAAAGGAGAATGCATTTTTTTTCCTTTTTAACCTGAATTTACTAGGCACCAGGGGACAATTTACTACTAAACACATTTATCTATCTGCTTCACCTCCCATTTATTCATTCCCATGCCAAAGTAACTTCAAGCACTAATGTGAAGCACAAAAGCTGTGAGGCTTCAGCTCCCTCCTGAAAGCGTGCAAGCACCAAATATTTTAACAAGCACAGAAGACAGCATAAAATGTCTGAGAACTGCCCATCCACTGACCACTAAGCTCCTGCCTTTGGCCTCTCAGCTAGACACTTCTTACTAGATGGCACAGAGCTGGGATACAGTGCTGATGTACAATCTGATCTCCATTGATGTGAGCTGAAAATAACTTCCATGGAAGCAGGATGGGTTACAGAACAGAGACAATGAAAAATCCAACTCAGAATTCTTGTTTCCACTTTCATCTTTCTGCCCCAACCCTGTACACGTGAGAGTCACAAAAGCAATAAAAAATAAATATGGAGATTTCTTTTATAGATAGCCAGCCACTGCTTTAGAGTGAAAAACATCTGACTGCATAACATGTCACGCTGCAGCTCTGTTCTAGTGAAGACCATACTTCTTATATAAATGAAGTTATTTTGATTCAGTAAGAATTCTGTACTTGGAAGGAATGAAAGCAATAAACTAAATGAGGATTAACTACCAGATCTTGTCATCCTTCAGTGCATTAGAAGACCAAAATAATCAAGATTTTCAAATGCTATGTCAAGCTGTGCAGAGGAGAAAAGCAAACTTTTTGCTTGTTTTGGCATAGCAAGCTCTTTACAGCTTCTATTTGTTATAAGTTGGAAAAGATAACATTGCATTTGCTAACCCAATAGATCATTTTCCCATCCAAAAAAGGACAGCTGCTTTTGCAAACATAAAAACTAAGGACCTTAAATTTTGTGGGAAGTATTTCTTTATCTAACTTCTCATTGTAAATAGTTATTTAAATTTTTAAACTCTGCTTAAACAAAAGAATAATTTTGATGCTGAGTAATTCAGGAGATTTTGTCAAAACAGTAACAGTTAATGTTTTTTGGTGATCTTTTTCTGGTCAATCTTTTCTGATTAAAAGGATTAAATACTTGAAGTAAAAAGGACAATATCTGGGCATCTACAATTACATATGATTACAATAGTGGGAGCAAAGTCCAAACAGTGCTTCCAGTATTAATCATCTTATCTGACCAACCTTAAGTGTAGGAGACTCCATCTTAGAGCCTAGAGTGAATGATCTCCTGGAAATGATTTAATGGCATTGGGAAACACCAAGAGAGGGGTCTGGCTTGTTACTCTCAGTTACTGCCTATTGTTATGCAGATTTTGAAAGCACAGTCTAGATCCAGGACAACATTCAGTAGTGGCTGGTGACTCTGTGTGGCTGAAACCATCCAGCTGGGTCAGTGCTTACTGAAGATCAAGAGCAGCTATACCTTCTTTATTTGGACATCTAAAGTCTGAGACACCCTAAAAAGTAGTTGACACTCATAATCCCAGCCACAGAAAAACTAAATTTGCTTCCAGACTTTAGTAGTTAGAAATCGGTTTGGAATTCAGTGAGAAATTCCATCTTGAAGTGTAAAAAGTAACTGAAAATTACTTGTCAGGTAAATAAACCCAGATACTAATATCAGGAAGCTTTGATCCTATTACTGTTTCTCAAGCTGTTACTGCTTATGCCTTAGTGGCATTTAGCATGTGACACCTTCAGACAAAGGAAAAAGGAAAGAAGAGTCACAAGTGAGCTCAGAAGTAGTTCCAGACACTGGAATCAGAGTGTCCTGTGTACTCCAGAAGGCACATCCACTGGATGCTGGAGGGTTGATGCTTTGTGATAGAACACTGCAGTGCTCAGCAAAGCAGCTTCTCTAGCTGGGGCTGTTACCAAGGCATTCATGATGTCCCTGTCACTTGGATGTCCTGAGGAATTCACTGAAAAGGCACAACAAAGTCTCTTCCCTCAACCAAAGCACCTCATCCATGAACTGCAGAGGTCCCTCCTCCTTAGTGAAATTTAGTGATGTGGGGACAGCGACATATAACAGCCTTGTTCAGAAAGGCTAACATCTAAATACCTAATTTACAGGATTTTAGCCATACCTGATTATACCAAGAGGGTCTAAAATTTCCTCCTCCTCCTCATCTCCCTCTTCTTTTTCCTCCCCTTTTTTGACATTTTCCACTGATAAAAGCTGTGAGATTAAGTCAGGTGTCTTCTCCTCTTTGAAAAAATCCAATGCATCATTTTCTTCATCTTCTTTCTTCCTGTCATCAGGCACATTTTTACTCTTGAAGTCAACAGCACTGGAAGATTTTGTTCCTGCAAAACACAGTAATGGAGGCTAAACTGAATATACAAGATATAAAAAACCTGTAGTTGTTATCTTGTACTTGTTCCTGATAGTTTTGTTTGAGGAATGAAGGACATGATCAGCTTTTGTGAAACTCTTTCAAAACACTCCCACTGTTCTCTTTATTCACTATGTGTCATTTTGTGTCTGATCTGTTTACTGATTTAAAGTAGTTAAGTAGGGAAAGATAGAGGAAATGAACTTTATCTGAGACACAGCAGCACATGTCAAATCTGCTTATTTATGTTCCTTCTACCTCAACAGAAACAATAGAATTTCCACATGGTGATTCATCCCACCCAAATGAAGTCATGTGAGAAGCTCCTCTTTGAAGTGCCTATTTCTCTTCTACTGGCTACAGAGAGACTGTAAATACTCTGATTAGCTATAGGTAGCTAACTTTCACATAGCTAGTAGAGATAAAATGGTCTTTTTGACACTAAAATTAAAGCATTGGACAACATGTTTCTACCGCAGCTCTTCAGTTTACACTAAAAAATGAAGCCTGATGTTCTAAAACCCTTCAATATGCAAGATGCATCCAACTCAGCAAATTCAGCCAACTGAAATGTAAAAGTAAGTCTTCTCACCATACTTGTTACATGTAAAGGCCAGCAGAATGAGGTGAAAATGGTTCCTTGTTGTTGAGTTTCTGGACGTCAAGTGTAGCAATTTAAAATAATAAGACTAGCTAAAAAATGGTACTGAAAACTGTGATGGATAAAATTCATGGTTACATCATTTTGACTATTGAAGTAACATGGCATGGGACACTCATCTCACTCAGCTTTCCATGTCTGCATCTTCCAAATCAGTGTAAGATTTACATTATTCTAAGGAAAATTTTGATTTTATATTTCTTGCACCCAATCTGCCCACAGAATGCAACCCAGCCTAGTTTAGCTGCAAATGTGCACCATGGTTAGGTTAACCAGCATGCAAAGATCAATCCACATGAATTCTGAATTCCCAGTACAAGGGGTCTGCTTTCAAGAGAACACTTCCAGGGAAAAAAAAAAAAAAACAAACAAAAACCTTGCTACCTGGATCTTGCAAAGCATTAAGCAGCTTTGCCCCCTTTGACTTTAGGAAGCTGCCATTTTCACAGAACTAATCTGGCCACACTTGACACTTCTGAAAAATGGGCTGTTTACACTTGTTAGCTTCTTGCAACTTCACTTAAAAGTAACCCTCTTAAAAAGTAACCCTCTGCTAAGAATTCGGCATAGCACCAGGCTGGAGTATTCCCTGCTCAGTAGCCCTCAGCTGAATTAAAAGCAGAGAACTCACATGTTCCATTCATTCAGTATGCTGCTATGTCCAAGAGACATAAGAAAGGAATTATCAGAGTCAATAATTTGTAGGTAAACCAGACAAAACATGCAAGAGTTGCTCACTAAGGGAGACTCTGCACTGTCCCTTTAGGGTTCGTCTTCCCACTGACAACGTATGACTATTTAGCCTTCTAAATTTACATGTTCTAAAGCACAGCAGGAAATCAGAGACAGGATAGCACAATGCTTGCTTTGAAGGTACCTATCAACATCTCTGAAGGAGGCATGTGTCCACTGAGAGGAGGGAAAAACACTAGCAAACGTGACTGTGCAGCACTGTAAACGCACAGGAGAATATTTTAGTGACAGCCTTTATTCTGGCACTCTCTAGTTTCTGGCTACCCAAGTCAAGAACTTAACACTTCCATAAAGCACATTCATGGGAGAGGGGACACTCACATCTTTTAGTTACCTAAAAATTCCAGTAACTCAGGACTCGTTGCTAGATCCTCGTCTTTGGAGATGAATTTCATTATATCGTTGAACATTGCTCTTCGTTCAGAGATGTCAGATTCCCCCACGAAGAGAACTTTTCTAGGCAGGAGTGGAAGAGAAACCTGTGGATATCGTGCTGCCAGTCTGTGGTAGAGCTCTTCAATCTCGCTGTATTTCTTGGAAACCTGCAATGAAAATGTGTTGCCCAGGTTCATTTCTTTACAGAAGAGACAGGAGCAGCAAAGCAGCAGTTTAAATGCTGTGAAACATTAACTGTGGAAGAGAAAACCATATATTAGCCAGGAGCTTTACACATGGCCAAGCAAATGCCTGTTATGTACCCGGTGAATCCTCAAGCATTGTTGCTGGTTTTCTAATTCTGTTATTAAAATTCACTGCTTAATGGAATTAAAGTTCATTGCTAGAATCCATTTGTCTGACTCATCAGCTAATGAAATACTGGGAAGGTCACTGCTCTAGATACTTTTCTGACAGCAGAAATCCTTGTCCACTAAAAGTGATGCTGTGTCCTGAGAGTCAGGAGGGAAGAACAGCCCTGCCTGGTGGGTACATGGTGGAGAAAGCTGTCTTTGCACCACTGTCCCATTCCTCACTCCTGGTGGCTTCAGTGCCCTTTGGCTGCTGAGGCCTAAAAAACTGTTTTCTACCCTGAAGAGTCACCTGACACAAAAACCTAAGGGCAAAGACCTCAGCTGACCCCTGACTATTCAGTTCTTCCATAAAAATCAACAACCTGGCTATGGCCTAAAAGGTTCTCATACAGGGAGAAGATGCCAACAGTGAACAGAGTAATTCCTTCTGTGGACAAAGACAGGAAGCCTGAGGAAAAATAAGGCTCAAGATATTACAAGGAAAGCAACAGCTATGGAATGTTGGTTAGAAAAGGTGTGGCTTTCATGCCACATTAAGTATTGAATTCAGTATCTTAAAGCAAAACACAAAACCCACACACAAACAAAACACTATCTTTAAGTGACATTACAGATACTATGAGGGTGACTTCCCTGCTCTGTGGTGTTATACAGATAATATATTTGTCAATATATTGACATGGACCTCCATGGACCCACAGTCTACCAAACTGTTTCAATTAATACAGAGATTAAAAAAACAACCCAAAGAGTGCTAGTGGAGTGCATAAGACAGATACTCTTTTAGGGTCCAGCTCTTATCCTTCTGGTAACACATGTTGCTGAACTCCAGTGGAGTGAATCCTAATTAATATTGCAATACATGCAGTATTGCACATACTGAGATGGATATAAAAGATGGAGAGACTCAAGAACCACACCTTGGAATGGAGAAGTGCAGAGTTCTCCCACAAACACAAAAATAAAGTCAACCTAAAAAAAAGCACAGACGGGAAATGAGTTACAGATTAACGCACAATCCCTACACTGCCTCTATACAAGCAAACTAAACACTAAGCACCAAGCACATTCCCAGCAACTGGAACCTGAGAGCAGCTACTAGAAATCTCATTTATAGTGTCTTAACTGACACTATGGAACCTGACAATGTCTGGCACAGTTCCTACACTCTGGGCAGCTATCATGCCCCGAGGTAACTCTTCAGCCCAAGGTCTGGCCCGGTGGACAGACCCCTCAGCAGCCAGTTTGGGTACTGATGAACACTGCAGATGGAAAGAAAGCTTAATCCTGCACATGCAGCCAGACTGTGTGAGCTGCCCTCCAGGCCAGGGAACAGGCCCTGACAATAACAGGCACACCTCAACCAGTTCACTGATTCAGATGTGGGCACAAAGAGCAATAACCACCTCAGCTTTCACGCTTCCCTGCCTTTCACAGTAATTACCAACCTAGCCAGATGATTTGGAAAATCATTTGCATTTCAGCTGTACAATGTTCACTGTGGGGTCAGTGTCCAGTCACAAAAGGCAGGCAGCTCTGTAACAAAGATCTGAAACTACACCCTGAGTCGACAGGGGAATGAAAAACCGAGAATTTTAGACTTGTCTTGTGAAAGCAACAAAGGTTAAGTGTGAATAACATTGTGCTCCATATGCAGGATCTGAAATGCCATTCAGCGACCAAGCACTAAAGTGAGGGCAACAGACATATTCCAGAACATTTTAATCTTCCCTTTGAAAGACAAAAAAGAGAGGGGAAAAAGTTCCCCAAAAACAGAGGGGAAAGCAATTCCAGAGCCTCTGAACTGATGTACATTTTTAGTTTGGTAGGTCCCAGTAGCATTCTGAGCAGGGTATGGTGCCTGAGCACCCCCCAAAAATACTATGTAAACACAAATGTAAGGGCAGCAAGGAATTCACCGGTGCTCTTTCAAAAGAATAAACGTCATTACTCTCCACCTAGGAAAAAAAAATTAAGTCTGATTTGCGAAAAACATTTAACATCTAATAAATTTCAATAATAGCTATCAAATTTCTGAAAGCGTTACAAGACAGCAGCCAATCAAGATGATGCCAAAACAGTTTTTAAAATACTCCAACACTGAACTGAGATAAACAAACTTATTTCTTCCCCCACTTAATTTTCATTCCTCCTCTATCAAAGTCTGTAAATTATTCATAAATCTCAATTTATGTCTAATTACACCATGGAACCTAAAGCAAACGCACACCCTCGCATCCCATCGCTAATTGCGCCTTTGTGGATCTGCGTGGGCTTTGAACAACAACGCCGGGAACGCACACACGACACGGAATACCAAGTGTGACGGCACCGTGTCCAAAGCATACTAATGTGCTTCCCAAAGCCTGCAGCACACCGTGCAGACAATATCCACAGTGCCGGGATGCCCTCTGCTGGAACATCCCACTGTACCAGCGAGGTGTCAGACCTCTAGCCAAAGCCATTCCCTGCTTGCCCAAGCCCAGTGCTGGCCCCTGCAAGCCCCTGGCAGCTGGGGCTCCTCACCCACTGTCCCTGTACCTCAAGCCCTGGCAATCACGGGCACCCTCGCTCAGCTCAGCTGCCAAATTTACCTTGGGAATGCAGTGGTAGGGCTGGCTGAGCCCAACAACCTCAGACTGGTGCACCGGGAATCACTGAATGGTTTGGGATGGAAGGGACCTTAAAGATCATCCTGCTCAATATGGGATGGACACCTTCCACTAGACCAGCTTGCTCAGAGCCCCATCCAACCTGACTTTTGAATGAATTCTAGGGATGGGACAGCCACAGCTTCTCTGAGCAACCTGTTCTAGTGTCTCAGCACCCTGGCAGTCAAGAATTTCTTCCTCAGATCTAATCTAAACCTCCCCTTCTTCCCCTTGTAACCAGTCCCTCTCCTGCTTTCTTACAGCCCCTTTAGGTACTAGAAGGGCTCTAACATCACGCTGGAGCCTTCTCCAGGCTGTACAGGCTCTCTCAGCGTCCTCACAGGAGAGCTGCCCCAGCTCTGTGACCACTTTTGTACCCTTCCTCTGGATCTGCTCCAACAGGTCCATGTCTTTCCTGTACTTGTGACCCCAGAGCTGGATGCAGCAGCACAGAGGCCTTACACAAGTGCCAGACAGGTTCCACCGAGTGCATTTTTTCAAGGCAAATCCCAGACATGACACAGAGCATTCTCACACCTTCCCAGTCAGAAAGCACTGCTCTGCTGCAACAATTTTGGACCCTTTCAATTAGACATCCTCTGTCAATTTTCCAGGAGAAAGGCGTATCAGCATGTAACAAAATTAAACCTTGCCTTTCCTGGTTATCACTCACAGCCCTTTGAAAATCATTGATGGATCCTATGGTCCAAAATGTCAGGATAAAAAATTAGCACTGCTCTAAACCCCATTTTATCAATCCTATTAAGTAAACAAAGTTCCATTTGATTAATATTCAAATATTTTTCTTCTGCTGCCTGTAATTCCTCCAGGTCTTGATCCAGCAGTTATCCTCTCCCCTAACTGAACTCTGTGAACACTGTGGAGCTAAACCCCCACCACCTGTAAGTCAGCCTGAGTGCACACACTTCAAGGAGTTTTGTCAAGTCACAATATCAAAGACCCAATCTGCCTCACTTCAAAAGAGTTAATCATGCAAATACAGCAAAGCATGTGCACATTTGCCAGGTCAAGACCTTATTTGCCTGTAACAATTAACATCCAACACAGAACTTAAAAGACAGACAGGGATGGGTTGAATGCTTTTTTTTTTCCACTGGGAACAAATAAATAAGTTGAATGTGATCAAGTATAGCTGGAAGGTTAAGAAAACCACCATGAAGTTCAAAGTGAAAGTCTGAAGTTTGCTGCTAATCCCTCAAATCTCATGCATGTGCCTTGCCCCCCTCTTCCCAAGGGCCTCACACATGAAAATTCCCACCGGAATGGCTGCAGGACATGAGCCTGGGACTCGCAGTTGTGCACAGAACTTGATCCCACTCACTATTAATGCCATTTAATGCCTCCTTTCCCTTCAAAGCTCCTTTTACTATCCCATTTCTGACCTCAAACTTGACTTCATATGTTTTGTATCTGCTGCAAGGATTTCAGAAAAATGGAGATCTTAGAGCCAACTCAAGCCCTTTGCTAACCAGTGTACACCAACAAAGAGCATGCTTGATTTTATAGTATTTTGTGAAAACCAGGGTTACTGTAACTTTCTTCCTATAAAGCCCATTTCTTAACACTGTCAGAAAAGGGATATCCAGCATCTAGCTGGATCCTAACTACTAGCTTAGGTTGCAGGAATCAAAAGCACCCCTTCTCCCGGGCAGCACAAACCAAGCTTCTGCTTGGAAACTCCCAATTCAAGCCATACCAGAATTAATGTTGCTTGGTGACCCCGTGGGTATGCATTACAGTAGATTTTAATTACAAGACCACATGCTGTTCTCCTCATCTGTTTTGCCCAGCAGAAGAGCAAGAATTCTAATATTTCTTTTTAATCAACATGAATCCTTAGTGGTTCCTGAACCTATTGCTACACCAAGCATGAATTTTCCCCCCCTTTCACATCACAGAAGCCATAAGGTAAAGGAATTTATCTTCACAACACACCTGTATAGTCAGGAAAAAGCAACTCCAATGCACAGATTTGGAGGCCAAAAAAATAAAAAAGACCAACATATGCAAAAAGGCAATGATGAAAACATAAATGAATACACACCCACATCCTCATACACTGCCTCATTTTAAGAGAGGAAGACAGTTCTATAGTAAATGCCTCCCTAAATTGTGCTATGCCTGTCAAACACCAGTAGTTATTTTTTCAGTTTTGAAAAAGAAAAAACTTGACTAACAAATGACTTGTACATAAGAATCAAACTGGATGCAGATACAAAAAGAAAGCACTAAAGGCTGGGTGGATTTTTAATAAGGCTAGAAAGGGAGAAGTTAATTGCTACAAAAGCTAAGGTGTGGCTAGAAGAAATGCCTTTAAGAAAAGCAAAGCCTTTTCTTTTTATCACAGAAAATGGCAGATCTACAGGCAATAATTAAATATCACCTTGGTAGCAGTACCAAAGAGAAAACCAATTTCCCTCTTTCGATAGTACAAGAGTATTCTGACCTTTGAAAGAAATGCAACTGACTTTTCCTTTAATTATCAAATATAACCTTAAGGTTATGCAGTTCTACAACCCATTTGCCTTATTTTACAATTAGCATTTTCTAAAATTAAAAAATCCCTCCAGTTTCCAAGAATTTAGATCTGAGCGTCATTAGAGACGTGACTTTCTTCTTCTGTTACTGCTTCACAAACATTTTAATTAGAGATGCTGCGATGCTGATTTTGCATATCCCTATTAAGGCTGGGGAAATAGGGCATTCTGGATTGTTTAGACCCACAGTAAAGGCTTCACAGGTCAGATCTGAAATCTCTTTTTGATGTTCACCTGGTTTTTATCATAGGGCCTTAATGCCGAGAGGACAAAGCCTCAAGCTGCACCAGGGGAGGTTCAGGTTGGACATCAGAAAGAATTTCTCCATGGAAATGGTCGTTAAACACTGGAGTGAACTACCCAGGGAGGTGGTGGAGTCACCATCCCTGGAGGTGCTCAAGAAACATCTGGACATAGCACTTGGCACTCTAGCGCAGTTGACAAGGAGATCCGTCAAAAGCTGGGTCAATGATCTTAAAGGCTTCACCCACATGATCCTGTGAGACTACAGCTAGCTTAGAGGACGCTTCTGCCTTGCTCACCATCCTTTTCCAGGGGAAAGAGGAGCAGCTGGAGCCGCCCATCCCCGCCGGCCCCGGCCCCTCAGGGCCTGCAGCGCGCACGGCGGGCGCTGGGCGGCGGCAGAGAGCGGCGGGGCCGG